GAGAAGAGAATTTTTTACCTTTAAAATGTAATTTTGATTTTAAGTAAAACTTTTGGGGGTTGTAAATTTTTGCGAGAATTAATTTTGAAAAATCAACCACTCGAACACGTAACAGAAATGAAAATTGAAAACTGCAAAACCCAAGGAGGCAGCTTTGGTTTCGTATTAATAATAATAATAATAGTTGTAAAAAAAAAAAATTAAATTAAATAGATTTAAGCAAACATAATTGCAGGCTTTGACGTTTCTCTTCAACACCCACACGCAAACTCCTTTGACTCTCAAACAACAATTAAAAACTACAGCCGCAATTTGCTTCTTTCATAATTCAATTATATGACTTTTGAAATTTTTCTTTTTTTTTTTTTTTACTAATACCACTTTTTTATTTTATAATTGACGAGTTAATTTTTTTAGAAACTCTTTGAATTTAATTATTTAACAATGAGGGTATCATCCAATTAGCTTTGGTGGACCCAAAAACTAGCAATTTGCTGAGGATTAAAAAAAAAAAAAAAAAATTAAAAATTAACAAGAAAAATTTTCGTATCTTCCGACTTTAGACCTAATTCTCAAGAAAAAAATTTCATTATTTCCAAACTTCAGACTTAAAAAGTTTCTAATCAACTCTCTTAACAATTGATAAAATAATAATAAGAATCATAATAAGTGGAGTGTCTTCTTAGTTTCTAGCGTCATGTATATATGGCAAGTACATATGTGTGTGTGTGATATTTTAAAATTGTGGAAAATGGGGTTTTCCCTTCTCCCTACGGAATGGACTTTGAGTTTTCTTCACATGTATTTTTTATTTCCTTTTATGTCAATAATGCCATTGCCTTATTAATTTATATTCTTAAAATTTGATGTTAATAGGGTAAGAGAGAGAGAGAGAGAGTTGCGTGAAAGGAAGAGAAAATGAGGGGTAGAAATGTCATTTCATATGTCTGATCCAAAATAGTGAGACAAGAAGATTTGAGGAAATCTTGGGTTGAAGATGGCATTTTTTGTCACTTTCCTTAAATCCGACTTGGGTGCCCGTCGTTTTGGAGGCAAGTAGGACCCCCTGTGAAATTCCATAAATACCCCTCAACCCTAAACCAACCAAAAATATTCTTTTCCATCATCAACTCAATTCTCATTTTTTTTTTTTGTTAAAAAAAAAAACAAAAAAGAGAGAGATAAGAATCGATTACATCACCTATTTATTTATTTTATATAAAAAAAAAAAGCACTTAAAAAGGGGATGCTTCCTCTATATGTATATATATACACACACACACATGCATACATGTCGACTTCAACCACTTTGGTGTATTTTTATTTATGGTTTTTTTTTTTTAATATAAAAAAACCCACATTTTCTCTTTTCTTTTTTAATTTTATTATTATTTTCTAAAATCTTGGAGGATAACAAAAAGTGATTATTTTTTAATTCATCATTTTCTTATAATTAACTTTTCAATTATATATATATATATATATATAACTATCAACCACCACCATTATACATTTCATACCACTCTTTTAACAAATTACCATTCAATAAACATAATCAAAACAACAAGAAAAAAGCCAAACGGAATCATAATAATATTTTGTGTTGTGTTTGATTCGAACTTATTTTATTCTTATTTATTTTATATGCCTAAAGATCAACCACAACTTATACATTTAATACATAATTTTTTATTCATGTTTTTAGTTTAACAATCATATATTTTATACCCAAATTTGTCTTATTGAATTGAACGTGAAATTTATTTAAAAAGTTTATTACATTTATATTATGGTTTGTCTCTACATAATGTGAAAGTATAATTTGTACCAAATTTAATCTTAAGATAATTATAATTGATTGTTACTTTTTTCTATTTAAAAAGAAAACAATAAGTACTCATCATATCTATTTAAACTCAAACTTCCACTTTATAAGAATTAAATCAAAATGCTTCTAAAGAAAGCTACACGATGGCTAATGCATCCGCCTAAATCAACTGTTTTTGTTTTCCTTGCCCTTTTTTTCACTTCCTTCTTCCTTAACTTTTTCTATCCAACTATTTTGTACATTTCAAAAAGAAATTAATCTCTCTCTCTCTCTCTTCAATTTCTCCCTAAAATCAATTCTTTATTTCACTTAGTTCAAACCGTAGTCCAAAAATAAATTTGTCTCCTTCTTCTGTTATCTCTAAAGAACCAAAAGTGTAAATTAAATTTAGATCAGACTAAAATTTAGAGTACGTATCGTTTGATTTTTACTCCTAAAGTTTAAGGACCAAAATTCTGATTCAGTCTCGGTTCATACGTTTGGACTTAAATAACTAAATAATTAAAACTGACTAGCTAAAGTATTTTATTATTTATTTTGAATTTGAGATGTATACCTGAGAGTTTTTCTTTTATTATGGTTGGCCGTCTAAGATTATTTGAAGTGTTTGAGTGAAATCTAATGTAAGTTCAAGTGCTAGTGGATTTTATTTTGTTAATTATTAGCTCAAAATGATCTACATATAGCCTAAAGACCAAATCCAGTTAAGAGCCTAAGTAAACAAAGGTTATTTTGCTAATCTGCCTTAAGAGACAACTACAAAAAGCGTGTTTGCTTATATACTCTAGCGACCTTATATAGATAGTTAATTAAGATCAATTAGTATTGAAATTTTTAACTAAAGTAACAGTACAAGTTTAACTATTTCTCAATATCTTAAATTATTACAACTTTAGAGTTTAAAAACTAATGTAAATTGAGCCAAAACTCATTGTGAGACATATTAAATGGTTTTATGGAGGAATTAAAAGTATCAAAGTTGGGCAACCAAAATTGATTTGTTCAAAGGAGATAAGAGATTGGTTTTCCATATTTCTTCCTTCTTCTAATGCTTTTGAATATGATCCAAACTCTTCGTGTAGTGCAAATAAACAGATTATAAACTATCATTTGTTAAGTTATTTGATTGTTATAGGA